TATGACTGCAAATCTGAGCAGCAAATGTTGAAAGTGTGCAGATGTAGTGCTGGTTAAAAATTGAAATAGCATCCCGCATGTGGTTATATCCTCCGTGCTAAAGGAAGAATTCTGCGCCATGATCCTGTGTTTAGCTTGGACTCCATCAGTAATTCTCAACTGGGCTTTTTCCGTAATTTTAACCTTCAACTAAAAAAACCCAACAAATTGGCTGGGATGGTAAATCGCAGTGAAAACAAAAGTGATCAGGCATTGCAAAAAACATTTCGAACTTGTTCCCGTCTGAAGCAGAGGTTTCATTGCAGCAGCAATTAACATCATCGACCTATCACATGCCAGGTGTTGTGTTACAAGTGCAAGAAGAAGCTCATAACATCCTGCAGGACCACCGCGCACTTGATAAAGTACAGCTGCCCAGCAATGATATAACGATTATGCATGAAGCTATACCATTCCTGCCCGTGCCTGTTGCCCTTTTTTGCCTTTTTCTCAATATCATCATTCCCGGATCAGGTAATTTTATGAAATTGATACCACAGACCTAATTCTTGCAGCACGACTAAGTAATGATAAAGTGCAGTGCGTCAAGCAACAAAACTATTAACCGCGCAAGCTTGAGATTGCAGCACGCTTGAAAATTTTTACCAAAAAAATCAACAATATAGAGACACAAAAGCACTTTACAAGGAAAAATCAATAAAAATTTACGCAGTTTAAGCAAACCATTTTGACTGATATATTAGATCTTTGAAATGCACAGGAGTTGGGCCGAATCTTTACAGTGATCTTGCAGAAAGCAATTTCAGGATAAAATGACTGGGGATACTGAAAATCGAAATGCAGAAGTGTGAATAGCTTGTGGAATAAGCATAACACTGTTTCGAAATGTAATGACGATGAGCCTTACACGTGCTAAAACCATTCATCTTAAGGGAAAACACAAAAAACCGGGGAAAGAAAGACATTAGCAAAAAAGACAAACTCAGTTGAGCGACGTCAGGATCAAGAGGAAGACTGGAAGGTGTTTTGGCTGAGAATGTGGAACACGCAGACCTCTGCTTGAAAATTGATGTATCAATAATTTACGCCAATAGTTTACAAAAGATTAACTTGCAAAATGGTAAAATACTCTCGGGCTGCCAAACTAACCATCGAGACATCTTGTGATAAAGCGCAGAATTCCAGATTCTACGAGGAATATTTCAGGAACAATTATGAGTGGGATCAGTGCTTTATGTATGGGGCAACCGAGGATAAATTTCAAGGAAGGTCGGAAATTGGTCACATTATTCGTAAATTTTTTGGTAGGCATCAGTCAGTTTTTCACGATAACGTTTATGTTCGTCGGTTGGTTTTGGTCAATCGCTTGGGGCGGCCTTATTATCATTCACTCAAGTAAGTGCATTTAAAAGTTGCAGAATAAGAACTGTAAATTAGCAGACATAAGTAGTCCATTTGTTGTAAGATCATGTTTTCAATCTAGATTTCACCCACGCAACCACTCACCTAATCCTTTCCTCCCGTTTCGATCTCCCGTGCGCAAAACCCTCATAACCATCCACACCCCGCTTGCACCATCAGAAGTCCTCCACACCACCGTGAGGTAAGGTCGCTTACCACTGGGAGAAAATTTTTTCCGCAAGTCGTGTAC